GGCGGCTGCAGGGAAGGAGCGCTGTACGCCCGCTCTGCTGCGGCTCCGCCTGCCCTGCCCGGGCCTGGAATCTGGGCGTGAGCTTCCTGGGGACAGACTCAGCGTGATGCAGCACAACCGGCCTTGCACAAGGCGGGCTGGCCCTGCCCGGGGGTGGAGAGAAACTGTGGATCCAGGCTGGGAGGCGCAGGCTGGGGAGGGAGCCCCTGCCCTGATCCCCTCCCTAATCCAGGCAGTTCGAGCCAGCGGGACCGTGTCTGTGCTGCTGCAGGGACAGGACAGCCCTGTGGCTGGCACTGCTGGATCTGTGCTGAGCACCGGGGCTCTGGGACTTCCTTCCTTCCTGCAGCAGCTGGCACCTCCAAGATATCCACCTGCGACAGGCCATCGCTGCCCTACCCACTCCTTCAAAGCCCCGTGATCTGCCCCTGCCACCCCACCTGCCCTCTGCAGTGTGTAGGGGAGCCCGCCTGTGCCCCACAACAGACCTTGCCTTCCTTGGCTGCCGGTGCGGGAACGTTGCCCTGGCATGACTGATGCTGAGCAGGGGCTGGTGGCAAAGGAGGTGTCCCCACGTGAATGAAAGGAGGCAGGTGGCACCATTGGAGCCAAACCCAGGCCCTCTTCCCAGCCCTCCCGGGGTGTGTTGTTGTTCCCGGCAGGCCTGTCCTCTTGGCCCCCTCACCCTGCAGCTGGGCACACGGCCACGAGTACACCTGGCAACTGGGACAAATGGGAACAGATGAGCTCTGGGGCTGGTTTCTGCAGCGCGGAGGCGGGCTGCACTTCTCGTGCACCTGGCAGACGAGCCGAGCCTTGCCAATACGCGGTTGTACCTGTCTGGAGGCCAGGCTGCTGCCCTGTGCCAGATCCATCATAAGGATGGCTCCATCCCGGAAAAGACTAGTGCACCCACCCCACTCGCTGCAGTGACTACTTCTGGAGCTGGAAGCCTCTCACCAGCTTTGCTGGGGCTGGGCTAAATCCTGCTTCTGGATGTGGGGATGCCTGAGAGCCGCTCGTGCACAGGTTCACCAGACCCAGGCTTAGCATGCATCTCAGTCGTGCAGTGACTCGCCTGCCAACTCAGACCTTCACTGCTTCCTGGTTAGGGCATTTTGGGGTAGGCGTGCAACCCCATGGGCAGGGGGCAATCAAGGAGAAGAGTTTTGCAAAGGCTTAGCTAAGTATTTAGTGACTATTGGTCATTTATCTGATGTCCCAAGGGGGCTGGAATGACACATGTGAGAGCTTCTCCTTATTGGCGTATCTAACCCAGCACCCCGTATCTCGCCAGATTAAGGGGATGTTCATTTATCCAGACCGACCCATTTCTAGCCCATCTTCCCTTCCAGCTTCCAACATTTCGAGGCCTGGGAAGTCCTAATGCAGAGTTGCAGCCTTGGTCTCTCGTTTCGCGCCCACCGATGGACCTGTCCTACGTCAGTGCGTCTAGTCCATGCAGCTGCCATGTGCTGGCTTCAAAGGTTGGTACCGAGGGTGATCCCAGATCTAGTGTCTGGGGATGGAGTGAGTGGGAAAGCTATGGCAGCTGGACTGCTTGGCTTTGGGGCCTGCCTCCCACATGTCTGGCAAGGCCTTCCTGGAGGGGGCTCGGGGGGGGCGCATTTGCTCCCCGCGGGGCTCTGATTTCAGCCTTTGCTTCTCTCTCCCAGCAGGCGAGCGCTCTGCTCCGGCTCTTGGCCTTTAATCAGCAGGGTGCTTTTAATACGGAGCCATTGCTTGCTGCTGCAGGCCCTTCTTGGGGCAGCTGCTTGCAGAATCAGACAGCGCCAGGGGCACCGGTGACAAAAGCCCCCGGGGCAAGCGGGCCTCTCCTCCGGTGCCCCCAGGAAAGCAGCCTAGGAGCAAGAGGGTGGGACAGAGCAGAGGTCTGGGGCTGAGGTTTCCCACTCGCTCCCCTCCTTAAGAGCTGGGGCCAGAGCAGCCTCCTCTTTCACTGCAGCCGCCAGCTGCTCAGCACCCTGCACTCCAGTTGCATTTGGGGCCTGCGGAGGATGAAAGGGGAGGGAGAGGCCATCCCGGAGCCTTATGGGGAGGTGACACCTTTCCCCGAAGTGCTAGACAACGGCAGCTGTCGGGCCAGAGGGACCAGGGCTCCGCTGTGCTGTGACAATCCCCAGGCTCTTGCTAGAGGCAGGCGACGTGTGAACAGAGCTGGGCACCCAGACAGATGGGCACAGTCTCCTGGGTCTACTTGTGTTTGTTTCTGAGCTCCTGGGGGGGTGGCAAAGGCGGCCTGATCGGTGCGGAGGTTTTTGGCATGTGCATGCAGCTAATCTCAGAACAGGCGGTGGGTCTGTATTGCAGCACGCGCCGAGAGAGGATGTTTAATTTCCTCTTTTTCCTGCACAAAAACCATCAGCAATGGCAGTATTTCCACCAAGTGGCCCCAGCAGGTGTGTGAGAAAGGCATCTCCCCAGTGTAGACGAGATTGGCTCAACTGCCCTTTGGTCCAGGGGTTATTTTCACACACATTTTCAGAGCAACATCCCTGTCCTTGGAGTTGTGCAGAGGGGTCAAGCACGGGGAACCACAGGGCTTGCGGCTGGAGCGTCACATCGTGCTCACGGCTCTTCCAGCTCCAGCTGTGACCTCCCCAAAGCCAGCGGCACAGATCTCCAGAGACACGGGGACGAGTGGCAGAAGCCCCTTTAATATCCCTGAATGGCATTACAAGTAATACTGCAGGTGGCCGGCTCTCAGTAGACTTGTCTGGCTGCAATGTGTCCAATACAAAACCTGGCAGAAAAATCAATCATGCACAGAAAATTATTGCTGTAGGAGTTCCTATTTACAATATAAACATGGAGCAGGGCCCCAGGGCGCCCTTGCTGTCCCCAGGGCAAGCAGCAGGGAGAGCTGGCTACGGGGCGGGGGGGTGTCCAACTCCTGCCCCCAGAGGACGATGAGTTTTGCTTAGGACAAGGGGGATAGCACAGGGACAGGGTAGAGAGAGAACACACTGTGTGTTGCGTGGCACGTGTGATGTGTGTGTGCATGAGTCCAGGTGCATGGGCAGCATTGCACAATGGATGTGTGCGAGCAAGGAGAATGCAGTGCTTGTAACACACATGTGCATGCGTGTGCCCAGAGCAGGAGGCACCCATGAGGTTGCACCCCTGGAGGAGGAGGAGGCATGAAGCTGTTCACCTCTGCATGTGCGTGCATGGTTGTACACTCAGGCATCCACACATGGCAGCAAGAAGGACTGTGCCTAGGAAGTTGCACCTCTGGTGAGGGAAGGTGCATGGGTGAATGATGGCACGGGGATGTGGAGCCTCCCACGGGGTGTTCTCATGAGGCGGGATGCCCGGGGAAGAGTGGGCGAGGGAAGCATGGGTGAGACGTGCACGCTGAGGACCAGAGTGCATGCCAGGAGGGCCGGTGAAGATACAGGTATGCCTCCCTGCTCCGGGGTAGAGCTGAGAGCTGCACCGTGCATCCCCACTGCGAGCGAGGCGCCCTAGCCTCTGGGACCAGCGCCCTCCAGCCCAAACTGTGCAGTCACTGCCATCCAGGGAGGGGGCTGAGGTAGGAAACAGGAAGCTCTGCGGTGGTGGGCACTTGTGCCAGGAGCGCTGGGCATGCCAGGAGGAGGCAGGACCCTCCCCACGACCAGTGCATGCAGGGCCCGGAGCACGTGGAAACAGCATAGCTCATTCTCCCCTTGGAAAGTTGCATAGAAACAGCTGCTTTGTTCCTGCCGTGGCGAGGGGCAGGGAGGAAGACGAGGGAGAACAGCTTTGCCCTGACTCGCCCGCTCATGAGCCACGGAGCCCAGAGTCGGAGCAAGGACACAGCACCTCGGCTGAGCTTCACAGCTCTGGTTGGGGGATGCCTCCATGCCCTGTGTCCTGGGCAGCAAGGTCATCGCCCTGCTGGCCCTCCCCCAGCTTGCCCTGGGACTGGTGGCTGTGCCAGCAGCTTTGAACGCTCCCCTGGGGACCCATATGGAGAAGCCCTGGGACCCAGCACTGCCCCTTGTGTCTTGGCAAATAAATAGTTAAACAGCATAAATGATAAATAATATAAATAAGAGCATTTAAATAGACCCTTCCCCCCACCCCCAGACTTCACAGTAGCACCCCCAGGACTCCCTCCTCTCCCCGACTTCGGCTGGCAGAGACTCCATCTCTGGGGTGGGAAGAGGGAACGGGGGGGGGCGGCCCAGCCCCGTCAGCCCAGTCTGTCTGCATCGAGAGGATGCTGAGGGCGCTGGGCATTGCATGCCGGGGGCTCTGAGCGAGGCCCGGAGGAGAGGCCTTTCCGTGGCATGGGTCCATCGGGCTTGGCCTTCAGCATGATGTCACAGCAACAGCATGCGACATCACAGCCTCCCGGGGCACGAGAGAGGGTGTGCACGCTGGTGAAGGGAGGGGGCACCAAATGCATTGGAGCATTTAACACCCCTTTCCCCTCTCAACCGGCAGGACGAGGCTGTCGGACCGTGGGCAGGCGTGGGGGCCTGGCCGTGGCACCTGACCAGGGGCTGGGAGGGCCCGGGGGAAGCTTTCTGCATCCTCACAGAGCTGAGGGTCCTTGCCCCGGTGCACTGGAGGGGGCTGCCTCCTTCCTGGGTTCCCGTCCCCCACTGCTGAGGTGTTTGGGGCGGCGGCGAGCTTCCAGTTGTCTCGTCCTCAAGCGCTGGCTCCCGGCAGCCCCGCACCTTGCCGGGGAGCCAGCGGTTTGTGACACCCAGACCCCCCCGCTCCAAAACCCCAGGTGTGCATCGAAATAAAACCTCGGCGCGTCCATTGCACAGAACCAGCCCCGCCTTCCCGTCCCTCAGCCGCACAGATTCCCTCCCAGCCACGGTCCGTCAGTCATTCAAGACAACCCATGTACACCGGCCTGCCAGCCCCCCAGACCCTCCTGTCCACAGGCCTGCAGCTGTAGGGCCTCCCTTTCCCCTTGGTCCCTTGCACAGACCCCCCCGGGTCTCCCTTCTGGCCCCCCCATCCCTCCCGGCCTGGTCCTTGCTCCGGCGATTGCACAGCTTGTGTTGCACACC